TCATTATTATTCTCAACAAGTAGTTGATACGCAGATTTTAACTGATCAAAGTCTTTAAAATATGCTTGTCGAACAAAAACTGTCCACCAGTAATGCACCTGCTTTTGAGTTATGTTTGGACAAGTTTGTTCAATTTGTGAATATATGTTTTGTGGTGTCTGATTAATGTTTTGTTGAATAAATTCCTTAGTACTTGAATCCATTTCAAACCGATTAGGACGAATATGTAAGATTTTGTGAACTAAGTTAATATCGGCAATTTGATGATTACTAATTATTATTCTTAATAACCCATTGCAAGAAAATCTTTCTATAGACACTTTATCTCTTTGTTTCTCTTTTCCTTTTCGAGTTTTATTTTCTAATATTTGACTTTGAGAACATCTATAATAAAATGTAATATTATCTCCTTTCAAAGCTTCATATTTGTGATCAAAACTATAAATAATGTTAATTTAATAATTATAAGTTTATATAGAAGGTGGCTATAGAGAAGCTTGACTGCATTAATTTAAATTAATAAAACTTAAACATACATATATTTATATCCATCACATTCACCAATGATTTCCTTTATTAAATCAGCTACTTCTTTAGTATGTTTTGGACTATCATCAAGCATAATTCTACATGAATATTTAATACCCTCATTAAGACTTTTCACATATTCATGTTCGCCAATATCTAATACTTTATTGTATATTTGCTTGCTCATTTATTTTAAAGTTAGAATTTGGTCGACTTGAATACTGCTAGCTTTTAGTTGTGCATTACGTAAATTATCTTTCGTTCTGCATGTATGGCCTGTTTTATAATATATGTTGTTTTGTTTTAAAAATAGTTGTATGTTTTGCTCGTTCTGACAATTTGTACTCACTTTAGTTAAACTCATCTTTAAATCAAAGATTTTGCTTTAAGCATTGCACTATTTTTTATAGCAATTGTTATGATGTACAAGTAAACAAATATGCATAAATTTAAATATGCATTATCTTTTCGAGCATTTTCACGCATGGTTAATATTTATTAAACATGCCCTAGATATAGAGATATTAAACCTTCTTATTGTTTAATAAAGCATATATTAGCATGATTAATTGTCGCAGCTGATGCTGAAAACGGCTGATGCTGAAATTCGATTTTGATATGAATTTTTTAAATTTTTTGGGGTGTTTTTTCCCCGCTTTTTTTTTATAGTTGAGTTAGTGTTT